ATGATGATTTCAATATCAACGGTAATCATGACTCTAGGATTCATGAACAGGGAAATCAACAGGACCAGGTAAGTGAGATTCTACAATACTCAGAAAGATGTCATAATGACTACGTTCAAGTCACAAGGAAAAGGTGAGTTTTGCTCCTGGGGTATGGTTGGGAGTTGGTTTGCCAAATAATCAATATATGTTTTCTTCCTGCAGTAGGCATGATGATGACTTGCACAAATCACAAGGAAAAGGTGAGTTTGGCTCCTGGCGTACAAAAGTGACTTGGTTGAGTTCTTTTGCTCAATAACCAATAAATTTTTGTTGTCTTCCTGCATCTAGGCATGATGATTTCAATATCTATGGTAAGCATGACTGGAGAATCCGTGAATAGGGAAATCAACAGGAGCAGGTAAGGTCGATTCTACAATGCTCAGAAAGATGTCATAATGACTACATTCAAATCACAAGGAAAAGGTGAGTTTGGCTCCTGGCGTACAAAAGTGACTTGGTTGAGTTCTTTTGCTCAATAACCAATAAATTTTTGTTGTCTTCCTGCATCTAGGCATGATGATTTCAATATCTATGGTAAGCATGACTGGAGAATCCGTGAATAGGGAAATCAACAGGACCAGGTAAGTGAGATTCTACAATACTCAGAAAGATGTCATAATGACTACGTTCAAGTCACAAGGAAAAGGTGAGTTTTGCTCCTGGGGTATGGTTGGGAGTTGGTTTGCCAAATAATCAATATATGTTTTCTTCCTGCAGTAAGCATGATGATGACTTGTACAAATCACAACGATAAGGTGAGTTTGGCTCCTAGGGTACGAAAGTGACTTGGTTGAGTTCTTTTGCTCAATAACCAATAAATTTTTGTTGTCTTCCTGCATCTAGACATGATGATTTCAATATCTACGGTAAGCATAACTGGAGGATTAGTGAATAGGGAAATCAACAGGACCAGGTAAGTTCGATTATACAATACTGAGAAGAGATGTCGTAATGGCTATGTTCAAATCACAAGGAAAAGGTGAGTTTTGCTCCTGGGGTATGGTTGGGAGTCAGTTTGGCCAAATAATCAATATATATTTGTTTTCTTCCTGCTGCAGGCATGATGATGACTTTGTAGAAATCACAACGATAAGGTGAGTTTGGCTCCTAGGGTACGAAAGTGACTTGGTTGAGTTCTTTTGCTCAATAACCAATAAATTTTTGTTGTCTTCCTGCATCTAGGCATGATGATTTCAATATCTACAGTAAGCATGACTGGAGGATTCGTGAATAGGGAAATCAACAGGAGCAGGTAAGTTCTATTCTACAATACTCAGAAAAGATCTCATAATGACTCTGTACAAATCACAAGGAAAGTTTGAGTGTCTCTCCTGTGGTACGGTTGGGAGTTGGTTGAGTTCCTTTGGCTCTCTAACCAATTGGTATTTGTCGTCTTCCTGCAGGAGGCATGATGATTTCAATTGCTAAGTCAGACATGACTGGAGGATTCATGAATAGGGAAATCAACAGAAACAGGCAAGGTCTATTCTACAATTCTCAGAATAGAGGTCATAATGACTATGTTCAAATCACAAGGAAAAGGTGAGTTTTCAATTCACAATTGATTTTTGGCGTCTTCCTGCAGGAGCCATGATGATTTCAATAAGTAACTTACAGTAAGCATGACTGGAGGATTCGTGAATACAACAGTCAACGGGAGCAGTTAAGTTCTATTGTAAAATATTCAGAAACCAGTTTGTAATGACCTCGTACAAATCACAAGAAAAAGGTGAGTTTTGCTCTTGGGGTATGGATGTGAATTGGTTGAGTTCCTTTGGCCAAATAATGAATATATGTTTGTTCTCTTCCTGCAGTAGATATGATGATGACTTTATACAAATCACAAGGAAAAGGTGAGTTTGGCTGCTGGGGTACGAAAGTGTCTTGGTTGAGTTCCTTTTGCTCAATAACCAATAGATTTTTGTTGTCTTCCTGCAGTAGACATGCTGATTTCTATACCTAGGGTAAGCATGACTGGAGCATTCATGAAGAGGTAAATCACCAGGAGCAGGTCAGTTCTATTCTAGATTGCACAGGAAAGCTGCCTGAGTGACTTTGCACACATCACAAGGAAAAGGTAAGTTTCACTCCTGGAGTACGGACAGTAGTTGGTTTATTGACTTTGGACCTATAGCAAAGAGAATTTTATTTCTAATTCTTAGGTTGGCATTATTATTGTATTCTTACGGGTTAACCATGACTGGAGGATTTGTGAACAAGAGTGTATTAACAGGAGAACTTGAGTTATTTTCTACAATATTCAGGAAAGCCTGAATGATTTTGTCCAAATCACAAGGAAAAGGTGACTTTTGCTCCTGGGGTATGGACGGGAGTTGGTTGAGTTCCATTTGCTAAATAACCAATGGATTTTTGTTGTCTTCCTGCAGGAGGCATGATGATTTCTATACCTAAGTTAAGCATGACTGAAGGATTGAATGAAATCAAGAGGAACAGGTAAGTTCTATTCTAAAATATTCAGAAAACATTTGGTAATGACTTTGCACAAATCACAATTAAACACGAGTTTCGCCCCTGGGGTATGATTGGGAGTTGGTTTGGCCAAATGATATATGTTTGTTCTCTTCCTGCAGTTGGCATGATGATGACTTTGTACAAATCACAAGGAAAAGGTGAATTTGGCTCCTGGGGTACGAAAGTGACTTGGTTGAGTTCCTTTTGCTCAACAACCAATAGATTTTTGTTGTCTTCCTGCAGGAGGCATGCTGATTTCTATACCTAAGGTAAGCATGACTGAAGTATTCGTGAATAGGTAAATCAACAGGAGCAGGCAGGTTCTATTCTCCTGTGCTCTACTTTGAGAGTCCAAGAATGGGTTGAATTCAGCCTATTTGCCTGGAGACTGTATTCTAAAAAGAGTCTTGAGTAGGCCTCTTTTCAGCTCCAAAAGCCAGTTTTTAACTCAGTCTACACAAAAACAGACATATTCAAGACTTCTCCAATCCTATCTGGTTATTTTGGCTGTTAGATACAAATTTTATTTATCTTGGATTCTCCAGTTGGATTTGCAGCTGCTACATTTAAGATTTGGTCACAGAATTGCGAGTTTGCAGCTTTGCCATGTTGGGTGGGGTGTTTTATCCTGACCCACTGGTATGAACCGCCACTATCATTTCATTCGTTCTGACTTTAACTCCTGAGGGATTTTACTAGCGGCTGGAGCCTTCACCCAACCTTCTGGCTAGTCTCCGTGAGGTGTGAGAGGTGCTTTCTAGTGAGTAGGAATCTGGTTTGCCACTACAGTGCGACGGCTCTTCATTATCTTTGCTTCAACTGGTGGCCACGATTTGAATTATGTGCTTGGTATTTTCGCATCATCGTCCCAACGTAACTGTTTCTTTTTTTGATGCTAAGAGACCTGCTTACTGCCCATGCATTGGTCCTGGCTGAGTTCTTTTACAGAGTTTGGAGTCAGCGGTGGCTTGTTTTGATCACATGCAATATCTCAGCAGTTTTGCGGCATTCCTTCAATCTTTACCTCACGACTTGCTGCTGCCCTTTTTGGCGCTGTGGCTTTCCTGAGATCTGCTGCTCCCATGGAGACTTCTTCCCCACCTAGCTGCCTGGGTGACCTTCTTCGGTCAGCATGGCTGCACAGTCCA